ATGAAGATTCATCCCACATTCCATGTTTCCTAGAAAAAAACAATAGATTACAGTAAAAATCTTTCTATATATAATAGTAAACATTTGGTCCCACTTTTGGTTTGCCCAAGATTACTCAAACAGACCAAGGTACTGACTTTATGTCTGAAGTATCTGATACTGAAGCTCCTGGCTGTGAAGCATCAAGTCTTTAGTGCATATCATCCAGAAAGCCAGGAGGCACTAGAGTACTTCCACCAAACTCTTAAGACAATGTGGCATACCTACTGCTTTAGAACTGGTACGGAATGGGATGAGGGTGTATTCTCTTGTTTTTTGCAATCAGGGAAACTATTCTGTCATGCATGTTTTAAAACTTAAGGTTCTGTGTGGGAGGATCAGGGTTTTTGTTGATTGTGTTTTTCCTGTTGAGACCTTTATGCAGAGACCAGTGTGCCCAGGAAGAAGGAAGATACTCAGTTTTTGTTTCGTGTGAGTAAGTCGACCATTTGGCTCACGAGGATAAATACGTCAAACGAGGATAAATATGTTGAAGGATGTTGTGTCCATGTTTAAAGGGAATGTGCACTGATCAGGCATAATGTTATGACCAGACAGGTGGTCAACTGACACATGACAACATGCATTTAGAAGCAGGAAAAATGGGTAAGATGGCTAGATGACTACATCTCCAAACTGCAGCTCTTGTAGGTTGCATGCTGGTTCCGATACTAAGGTGTCAGAATACAGAGTGCATTGCAGTTTGTTTTGTTTGGATCTGGATAGTCACAGACCAGTCAGGGTACCCATGCTGATCGCTATCCACTTAAAGCACCAACAATGGGTATGTGAGCTTCAAAACTGGACCACAGAGCACTGGAAAAAGGTGAATGATGAACCACATTTTCTTTTACATCAAGTGTATCGCCTACCTGGGGAACATGTGGCACCAGGATTCACTATGGGAAGAATGCAAACCAGCAGAGGCAGTGTGATCTACTGGGACACCGTGGCTCCCGCCATCCATGTGGGTGATACTGTGACACATACCACCTACCTAAGTACAGCTGCAGACCATGTACACTCTTTAATGAAACTTCTGTGACTTCTTTCTACAGGATAATGTGCCCTGATATAAAGCCAAAATAGTTCAGCAAAGATTTTAAAAGCACAAAAATGAATTTGAGGTGGACATGGCCTCCGAATTCCCCAGATCTCAATTTAATCAAGCATTTGTTGGATGTGCTGGACCATTAAGTCCAATGGATGGAGGCTCCGCCTCCCAATTTAGCTGTTGTTACCATCTTGGTGACAGAGACCACAGCAAATTTTCAGGGGTCTAGTGGAGCTCATGCCTTGAGCTTTCACAGCAGTTTGGCAGCAAATGTTAAATAAAATAAAAAATAAGACTGCTATTTAAAATGAAGTGATGATGAAGACTTTTGAGGAATCTCTTTTAAATAATGCAAAGACATTTTTTTTCTGCTGTTTGTCAAAGTGTAATTTAAACATGAATGTTTACAGAATAAATGTTTTGTGGTGCAGAAACCTCTGGGTTACCTTCGAAGTCAGGATATTGAAGCTTCTGCAATATGAGCCATCCACAGAGCTTCATACAAGGTACGAACATTAATGTGGTGATAAATCAACAGGAACCTGAAGAAGAGGGAGCTTCATTCAGATTTGAGTAGTCACTTCAACCCCATGTCTGGAAAATATGCTTTTTGCAAAATTATAAAGTCTGAAAAAGGAAGTATTTGTGGTAAATCAGCAGTGATTGGACATCATAAATCTGTATGTGTCTAAAAGTCAGTTCAAACTGTAAAATAAGTTGAGTAGTGCATTTAAACCTTCCTTCCAAAACTGCTTAATAAAAATAAATAAAATAATTGTCAACAATATTTGTAAATTGTGTATGCAAACTTCCAGAAAGGTCATGGATACAACTGTGAGCTGCAGATGTGCAGTTTGAGAAATTATGGTGAACACTGTGATAAATTTTTCCTGCCCTGACTGTATTGAAATTAAAGATGTGGCGTGTCTAAAATAATAATAATGAAAAACATACATCTATTTAAAAAAAAAAAGGGACAAACACATATTAATAAAACATTCAAAACTCCCCCAAAAAGATACACAGATAGCACAGATGAGCAAGTTATTTAAGCAAACCAGCATTTGAGATCTCGTCTGTATGAAATCAGACTAACTAAATATGGGACTAGCATAGCTTAGGTGAGCTCAGTGATACTGAAAATAATTAGTTTCATCGTTTTAAATGAAAGAAAATAAAACTGTTACTGAAAAATCCTCATCCTATTACATTTAACAGGAAGTTAATTTATTAGAAACAGTAAAAACATTTATTTATTAAATTATTTACTAAATAAATGTTTTTTTAAAGAGACTGTCTACTAGACTTTCATGAAATATCCAAAAAAAATACCACAGAAGGATGTTTTTCTGCCATTTTTTTTAAAGCTCAAAACATGAATACTTGCAGAATAAATATTTTCATGATATCACATCTGCATGATGAGCCGTCTGCAGAGCTACACATAAGGTATGAATATCAGTGTGGTGTTAAATTAATGCAGGAATAAAACAACACTTGAACCTAAAACTTAAAGCCACATTCAATTTTTCGACATAGCAGTGAATGTGATAATATTTAACCCAAAAAAGAAGAAAGAAAAAAAACCGGAGGAACCACCTGTTAGATTAGGTGATATTTTCACATTTGGTCTTTATCTATAGGTCTTGTTTCCTGTGGCTGTGGTTCTCACATTTGGTATTGTGAGAAACTGCTATGCGATAATGTGAGAAAAATTGTAATACTTGAAAAACACAACCCTAGTATGACACAAGGGTTAATGCCCTTGCAGCTGCACAACGCTACAGTATGTTAGGAATATATTAAATGTGTGTATAGTGCTAAACAAGAAAGACAGAAACATGTTTTCAACAACAGCCATAAAATGTACTCTTATTGTTAAACACACAGAAACTACTCTCCTGTTTCACTTTATATATTTTCAAGTGAAATTAAATGAAACCATCAGGGGTTAATGATGAGATCACAGGTAACAAAGTTGATGAGAACAAACAGTGATTTTACAGAGTTAGTCAAGACTGACCAACAGCTTTGTTTTGTGTTTCAGTTTTTTTCTTTCTTTATAGAAAAATAAAAGATGGGTGAATACCACTGATACAATGTAACTAGATTGTCTTGAAACATAGATGAGCTGCACTGTAGATAGGCTCTCCTCCCCATCCTTTCATCAGGAAGTTTGTTTTTTTTAACAGAGAGCTGTGAAAGGTGTTGTGCTTCATTTCTTTTTGAAAAGCCTGAGGTGAGGGTCGCAGAGGTGAAGCTTGATGCTTAATTTTCTATAGATATTGAAGGAATTGATTAAATGATTAGCACCAGTTTGCTGTTTTGTTATTGTGATTCAGACACAGGTGGACTAACTCCGAAGTCGGGAGCTTGAAGCCTCAGCATGATGAGCCGTCCACAGAAATACATAGAAGGTAAGAACATTAATGTGGTGGTAAATCAGCAGGGAGGAGAAAATCTACACTTTTTATGAACAATGCTGTTTTCATAGAACAAGTGTTCTGAAATTAAACAATACTCTTTTAGGTGAAATATCTTAAGTCTGTATTCTGGGTTTTATCACAGAAAAATATAAAAACCTCATTTATGAAGAAAAAGAATAAGAAAGTCAACCATATTGTTATGTAACATAAACTGTGCCATGTTTCTCGTTGGTCTAATCCAACTCTGATTCTCACCTGTTTAAAAAAAATAATTTTAAACAAGACAAACACAAACACAAACACATATCTTTACATCATTCCTCAATGCACTACAGTTAGAACTATTTATTAAATGTTTATGTACTTGTGTGTTCACTTTCTGTCTCCTCTGAATCAGGTGAAGCTCTTCACTGTCAACGTGAAAAATCAAACAATGCGTTAAAGCTCAGAGTGGCCGTGCTGGTTGTTTGTGTTCTCCTGGTATCGGCTCTCGTGGTAATTTATCTCTGTGAGTTTGTAGTTCTATTCATGTAGCTTTACTGATAAGTGTCTGATCTACTGTAAATTGATTATCAGAATGTTTACTATAAAATTGTGAAGAAAAACTTAACTTATGACTTTTTAATTAATCTGCATCATATGAAATCCTTTTATTTTAAAATCCAGGCTTCAGAACAAATTTTCCAGAATTTTAATTGAAAAGAAAATAAATTTTAACAGTAATTTAGCTGTTAAAGTCCAGTGAGCTATACAATCACCTGCTTTTCTATAACAATTAGCACCAAGTCCTTGCTTCTATCTTAACCAACACGTGCACTTTATTACAGTTAATTATTTATTTATTTAAGGTTAATAAAACCTTAACATTACATAATTTTGAGTTATAACATCATTAATAAATTGGATGTATGGGAAAGTCATTCATAAATGTGTTTTACTCTGAGGTAGAACTGCATTTTAACACAATGGTTTTTTTGAAAATCATATGTTAAATATATGTAATTGATTATTTTTATTTGTAACCTATAAATTAAAAATCATAATTAAATTGAAGCTCAGATATTCTTCTTTATGAGTCTTAGTGTGCTGTCGCCATCAGTGGAAGAAGAATATCTGACATTTGTTTTTAAATATATGACTTTTCAGTATACTACATATATATAACAACTATATTTAATTAGAAATAATCATCATTTTACTATACAGTTCATGAAACAGTTTTTAAATGGTTGCGCTGTGCGTTCAGTTCAGTAGCCATGTTACTCTACTCTCTGTTTATATAGATATATTTTTTACCTGCATGCTACCAAAACCTCCTCAAATGTGATCAAAATTGGGACAAGTTTACTGACTTAAGAGAAGTTCTAGTAACAAAGATCTTCTCCTTGGCTATAGACTCTGCAACTTAAATGCAAATGAAACCAAAAATGTTACTGACTGATTTGCATTTTTTCTTTTTGTATTTTTTTATAAGTGTTTGAGCTTTTGAAAACCAGGGAAATGCTCAGAAACCTTGAACTGAAGCAGGTAACTGTAAAAACTGATGTCACAGGTAAGAATATGAGACTCCTGCTTATTGTACTAAACCTTTGTTTGTTTGTGACTTCTGGAATTTAATCACACAACACAAAATATTAGTATTATTAAACTTTGCTCATTGTTGTTTTGTTTTTTCACAACATCCTAAGCAGGAAATATTTTCATACTTACAACCATAAACATGATTTCTTCCACCTGCCTGTCTTTGATGTAATTTCTTCAAAGTTGAACCATATTACAAATGTGAAGATGGCTGGGAGCAACACAGAGGAAAGTGCTATTATTTCTCCACAAGAAAATCATCCTGGGATCAGAGCAAAACTGAATGTAGCACTAAAGGAGGAGGCCTGGTTAAGATAGACAGCAGCGAGGAGCAGGTATTAAACACTGCTGCAGGTTCATGTTCTCACCCTCATGTTTCGTCATCCCAGAACAGAAAGTTTTACAAAATAATTGAATCATTTTTTTCCATTTAGAGTTTCTTGGGGAAAAATGTTCAACAAAAAACGGTGGGATACGACGACCTTTTCTGGATCGGCCTGACAGGCTCAGCAGAAGAGGGCAAATGGTTGTGGGTGGACGGCTCACCACTGAACGAAAGGTTTGATTCAATCCAATTACATTATATTATATATTACATTTCATATAGATAGATAGATAGATAGATAGATAGATAGATAGATAGATAGATAGATAGATAGATAGATAGATAGAGATGTGTATATATATGTATATATTCACAATAACAGTCACCTTAAAGGTGCTTTATAGTGTAAGGAAAAGACACTAAGATATCCAACAATCAGACAATCTATTAGCGACATTTGGGTGACCCCGTTTTACTGTGACTGCTCTTTTTGTTCTTCATCCCTTAGGTTGACATTTTGGAAGGATCAAGAGGCAGATGATTTGAGTGGAGAAGATCCCGATGGAGACGACTGTGTGGGGATGGGGCCAATGTATTGGTTTGATAATTCCTGCAAAGTACCACAAAGAAGTATTTGTGAGAAACCGGCTTTGATTCTGTGTGGATAAATTTCAGTTCAGGAACAACAGTATGAGCAGACGATATGCTGCAAACATTTAAAGACATCCAGAAATGTTTAATGAAAAAAATACTATATACACTGTTTATAATGAAATACATTTTAATAATTATTCTGTGTCTGATTTTCTTATTCATGTATTATGTGCTAAAAGAGCAACATCACCAGCCTTCTGTCATAATTGTGGTTTGATATTTGACCACTCTTTTATGCAGAATTGGTTGAGTTAATGTAAATTGGTTGGTTTCATGGTGGTGGCCTTCAACCTCCCGGCAACAGCAAGGGCCGGTGTTTAAGACGGCTGGGGCTCTCCCCAGCGGACCACTGCCGCAATTTCCAGGGAGATTGGATGGGGTCAGAGGATCTGCCCTTTGCCTACACCAGGCAGCTGCACAGCACAGTGGCCAGGTGGCTGCAGCCCGGTCCCACAGAGTGAGAAGCTCGTCTGCTGGATATGGCAGTGCTTGTGGAAGGGCTCCTGGCAGACACCGGAATGGGTCCACTGCCACCATCTGGCCTGGATATCATGGTAAAGCGGGCAGAAGACCACAGAGGATGGGCTGTTGGAGCAGCTGAATCAGAATTTAAAGTCCATGATTCATAAATTCATTCACGAGGACAAACGCAATTGGGATGGCTGGTTAGACCCTCTGTTGTTTGCAATGCGGGATGTTCCCCAGGCCTCCATGGGATTTTCTCCCTTTGAGTTAATGTTTGGCCAGAAGCAGCAATGGTTGTAGGACCGAATTAAAGAAACCTGGGAGGAAGATGCAGCATTCTGGATCAAATGAAGGCTTTTCAGTGAGCTTTTAGAAGAACATAATAATAGTGGATTACAATTTCCAGGCTAGAAGTTAACACATGAAACAGGTTCTCAGCATGGGTGATGGGTTTTACTGTAGGAGTTAAAAGTCAAGTTTGAAAGGGCCCATTTTTTTCCATGTGTGTATATACACAGCAGATATACAGATTTATGTATGTACAAAAATTTTGAAAGTGCTGAAAATGATTTAGGCATGTTTAAATGCACCGTGCTATCACTGAGAGGTTTTTTACCCCATCCTCCCCAGTCATGGAAAGTTAAGGTTTCACCTGCACTGATGAGAAGAACCAGAGTGGTGATTGTGTGCATTGGGTGTCATGCGACCAGTTTCACGTGCACATTCGAATGCACATGTACTAGAGTGTGCACTGATTAATTGATTTCAATTCTGTTTGGTACTAAAAGACCAAAAATATGGTCCCACTAAAATCTGGCTCAGGGTGGGGCTGCGCAGGGCACACAGCAGGCTCTGGTGGTGGCTGATTCTCAGCACAAGAGAGCAGGCATAGGCTCGAACAAAGCAGGCATAGGCTCAGAACTCAGCAGACACCGGGAAACAAGCTGACACAGGAGGCTGGGGTGGCACGGCTGAGCCCCCAGTTGATGCAGGAGGCAGCACTGGTCCACGGCCCTCAGAGTGCCGGGGGTTGGCTGGAGCCTCAAACTAAGTCTCTGTGTAGGCCATTACATAGTTTCAGTCTCTGGCAGAACCAGGTTAGCAGCACTTCCAACAGCCTCAGAAGTGGAGAGCTTGGGAACATAATAAACAGTCTTTGTAAGTTAGTCAAGCAAAGCAAATGTAATGACCTTAAGAGTTGAGAGTTTCTGGGTTAGCAGGCTGGGAAACATCAACAGTCTTTCTTTTCATTTTCTCCAGCTTGGGGAGATAATAAGGAGAAAAGTTGTTGTCACTTACCCCAGAGCAGTATTCTGATGCTCCGGAATGGGCCACAGATGGAGCCACAGATTCTGGTAGAGGTGAGAAAGCGCCGTTTCCTTCTCAAATAAGAAGGAGAGGACACTGAAAGAGCAGTGGAGACACAGGAAGAGGAGGTGGCTGACTTTTAATCTTTCCAATTTGACTTCCATTTTTTCCACTGACTTCCAATCATTCACTATGAAAGACAGGAGGTCATGATCACAGAATATATAAAAGAAAAGATTGGTCTCTTCTTGTCTCTTGTGTTGGACTGAGGCCAGACTTGACACCACAGTGACCCACCATCTCATTTTGCCTTAAAAAGTCGTATTAAACAGTTGAACATGCAGTTTTTGACATAACATCACAGAAGACGTAGTTGTATGCCTCCTTGTCAATTACAGTTGCAGAATAGCGCCACTAGGTGGTGCCATCCTCCTTTTGTTGTGTTAGGCTGAAACAAAAAAGGGTGTACTACTAAGAGAAATTAATAGATACATAAACTATGCCACTATTTATTTTATTTTATTATTTTTATTATTTATTTTATTTTATTTTATTTTTTTTGATGGGGGTTGATTGAACATTCAGTCAACCCTCAGCAAACAGTCACAGAACATGTTCCCTTGCACTCTCTGCAAGTAGCAAACTTCCCCATAGTACTGGCACTTTTTTTCCCAAGAAGACATTTTATTCAAATGTTCAAGAATGTTTGAAAAATCTTTCAGATAGTTGTAGATTGATGATATGATATCTGTGAGATATAATATTGTGCCTCCTTTGTGACATTTGAGAAGAACTGACAGAATCTGCAGAAAAGAGAAGGTAGTTGTAGATTTATGGCTCACCACTGAACACAAGGTTTAAAGACTGTGAAAATTTACCTAACAAATATTAAATAAGACATATGAAAATACATGGGAACAGTATTTTAGTTAACTTCCCATGGCCCTACAACTGTCTAAACAATAACGGGCCATTAGACCAGCCTCCTTACTCGCCTAAAATGAATACTATAGTGCACCTTCAGGACATTCTGGTTTTGCACATTGGCCAGTATGATCACCCACCCAGTATTCACCATGTGCAATAACATACAGTATCTGCCATGTGGGATCAGATTCCTTAGAGCACAGGTGTCGAACTCCAGGCCTAGAGGGCCGGTGTCCTGCAGGTTTTAGATGTGTCCTTGATCCAAGACAGCTCATTTAAACGGCTAAATTACCTCCTCAACATGTCTTGAAGTTCTCCAGAAGCCTGTTAATGAACTAATCATTTGATTCAGGTGTGTTGACTTTGGGTGAGATCTAAAACCTGCAGGACGCCGGCCCTCGAGGAGTTTGACACCCCTGCCTTAGAGGATCAACAAAGTGGTGACCTCAAGGCCACACAGGGTCCAGGCACTCCTAGCAGGCAAAACTAGACACGCACACTACTGATGTTAAAGGAAGTCAAACTGTGAAACTCCAAACCTCTGATGCCTGCAATGTGTGTGTGTCCTCCATACTCCATTAAATCTTATCAAATATATACAAAAATATTGTTGTGTTTTTAATGGTTCATAGTGTATTCATTTCCAGAGTTGAAGTTACCAACTTTTACAGTTACTATTTCATCTGTTTAGATAGATAGATAGATAGATAGATAGATAGATAGATAGATAGATATAGTGGCATGTAGAGGAATGTTAGCAAAGAAGCTCTACAGAGTTGGGAGCTTGGTGTTCAACCCTAAACTGGTAGGGGGAGCTCTTTATTAAAACACTTGCTTGTGCTACAATGTGCTTGAAGGGTCAATGACAGCACAACAGAACTCACTTATGGTACTGCATTCTTTCTATAAAACAATAACTGTCAGTGACTTTGCACCGTAGTATAAACACAACATTAAAGCTAACAGTTAAAAGTAACGTAATGTTTGAGTGTGTGAGTGTGTGTTTTTGTGTGTGTCTAAAAATTCTACTACAAAAACTCTAAACTCTAGCTCTAAAATTGTGCATTTATGTGTGTTTACTTCTCTATGGTGTTTCAAATATTATGATATTTAATAAAACAAATATTATATAATAAGATTAAATTTGTTTTAAAAGACAAATGTACACCAGTGAATTTTTTAAAAAGCAAACAGACAGACAGAGATGGAACAGATGGGTGCAGCAAGTCAGCATCATCAAGGTCTTAAATGACCTCAGTGATGCTGAAAACAAAGGAAATCAAAGTTGTTATTCAAGCTGAACTCCCAACCTTTCAAAGTCAACAGGAAGTTATTTTGCAATCAGTGTTTTGCCATATGAGTTTAAAATGTTCTCTATCTGATCAAATTGAGTCCAACAAAGATGAAACACAAAAGAAAGGAGGGGCTACCTCTTTCTGTGCTTATTTAAGATTATGTGATAACTTAACGTGTGGTTAGCTCAGTCAACCATGTTGTTTTCTGATACACAGTGTGTCATGTTTCCTGTTTTGTTAATGCAGCAGCATTTGACACAACTATCTGATTTACCATAAATAAGAGGAAGAGAATGTTTACAGTAAAATAACTTGGTACTGTGTGCAAACATCATGGTCAACTTATAGTTTCAGTGTTCTGATTAAGTTTAACTGGAAAAAAATGAAGAAAACCTACAAGACAGATGTTTGTTTTCTCAAATATCGGACTTCACGCTGTTTTCCTGCATGCAGCCACAGCCTGCTCAAATGTTTTTGGTTAATACAATACAGTATCAAACACTTTGTCTCTAGTTAAACTGTGTGACACTTTTCCAAGGTCTGAATTGAACTTGCTGAATGATTAATTATCACTTATTACGCATAGTGGTCACTACAGTGAACAGCTATTCAAAGGCTGTTTTCTTGTATTTGTGTCAGTATTGATGGTATACTTGTACACACCACTACATTGGACACAGATGTGTCACTCCATACCCTGCCACCCACTCCAAAGGTGATGTTATCCATCTAAGTGGACATGTAAAAAATACACTTTTGAAAAGTTTTTTAAAAAAGAAAGTTCAAAAATCTTTTTTTTTCATGCCTAAAGATGAATAAAAATACTTAAGAACAAAATCCTGATTGAGGTCTGATTTCCTGTCTGTTCACCTTTATTGTGTTCAGCTGTGTTTAGTTTCCCTCCTGTTTCCACTTGCCTCATTACCTTGTATAATTTTGCATTTGTTTGTTGCATGTTACTGTGTTGGTATCTTTTTTTAACCAGTGCTTTTTTGAATTTTGTTAAGTTTGTGTTCTGAACATTGTCATCCACAATAAAAGCACGTTTTTGGTTAAACCTTTAAAGCTGGTAGGAGCGGGCACGCACTGTTTTGCGTAACTATTTTTTAATCCCGGTAGCTCTGCAACCACGTAAGCTAGCACAATAATTTTTAACTTATG